CTTCAAGGCTCCCTCTTTAAAAGCAAATTTGGACACCCCCGGCTCCTTAGCTCCCTTGCAGCCACCAGCCAGCAAAATATGTTCTTTCAGGAGCTCAAGAGGGTCTGTTGCTCTGTGCCTGTGCATGTACCATGGTCGCTGGTAGACGAGGCAAACGCCAGCTGGCAAAAGCAAACCCACCCCTCAGGTGCTGGCAGGCAGTCCACCGACGGGATGCAGGGCACCTCCTTGTTGCAGGGCTCAGCCTCCTGAGCGCGAAGCGAGCGGCAGCCGGCAGGCGGGAGGCGGCAGGCGGGAGGCGGCAGGCGGGAGGCGGCAGGCGGAAGCCGGCAGGCGGAAGCCGGCAGGCGGAAGCCGGCAGGCGGCAGGCGATCCAATTGGACGCTAACCCGAACTGAAGGGAGACTGGTTTGGAACTGAGGAAACCAAAGCCGACTCAGCCGACAGCTCAACCTCTCCTCTTTTGGGTTGGCTCCAAATTGCTTGAATGTTGTCGGGTGTTTCGGCCTTGGGTCTGTCTCCCCAAGAAAAAATGTCCAAAACCACAAGTGAGGGGTTCCTCCTGCATCTGAAAACCCTCCCTCATCCTTACGTCACTGGCTTGCTGCACCCTAAAAAAAACACATGCCTTGCCCGCTTCCCATCACTTAGCCTTCCTTTTCCAACCTCGCGCCCTCCCCCAACCTCGCTCCATGCGCCCTCCCCTGACTCCCATACGAGCCCTCGCTTTCCGCGTTCCGCGTTCCGCGCGGACTCGGCCCCCGCGCGATGGACATCCCCGGCGCCGCCACGCCGCAGTCGTTGGCCTCCACCGCCATGTGCCGGTGCCGCCAGCGCTCCCCCCCCTGGCAGCTGGCCGAACAGGCCTCGGCCGAGGAAGCCAAGCCAGGCCGGATTTGTTTTTTGGAAACTTGCGGTTGTTTTTGGCAGCTGCTAAAAATGAACAGAGGCAAAATAAATGCAACTAAAGCGAAGCCGGCGAAGCCATAGGGAAGCCATGGATCGCTTCGATGGATCCATGGCTCGGCGATACAGTACCAAACCCCTGATGGTTTGGTCAGCGCGGCAACCCTTGGCATGGGCCTTGCGGAAAAAAGAAAAGACATGCGGTTGTTGCTTTTGCAGCTAGTAACAATGAACAGAGGCAAAACACAAACCAAAAAACAAACTAAACACATGCCAACTGTGAAGCGTTGCCCTTCTGGAGCGAAACCAGACGTCTCCCTAATATTGAGATCTGTGGTTCTCTTTGGCAGGGTTCCTCTTTCAGGCTTTGTTGAGCTGGCAAAACATGGCAAACCTAGTTGTCTATGGCCCAAATGTAGCCTTGAGACCCTGAAGGGAGACCGACAAGCCGAAGCCTTTTTGCGGCGTCCAAAATATGTTTTTGTCCAGGTTGAATTGGTTGATCCAATTTGGATGATGACACTCCTTAGGATAATAACGGAGGATATGTGAACCCCCTTTGTTTCAATGGTGGTTTGAAACCCAGCATATATACAGTTACAGCTCCGCCTGTATACCGTATACCAACCGATTGTCCCCGGGTCCCGGTGAAAATCGGGGGAGGTCTTCGATTGGCAGGGAGGCTTGGGCGAGGAATCAGGTAAAGCGCGTTCACCGGGGATCCTTCTTGGAAAGTGAGGAATGATCTGAGATCTGGTAATCACTCCATGGAAATGGTGTTAACTCTCCACAGAATGAAAGCTAGTTATGATATATGATGTCTCTATTTCACCCTCATATTGAAATGGAAAGGGACATCTTACGACGGTTGACCTTCCCTAAGTCCTTCCTGGAATCCAGAGCCAGGCTGGAGCCATCGTAGCCTGTCCTTTACCCTCCCTGATGGTGCAAATTCACCGGAAATCAAAAAGCGACCATTGCCATTTGGGAGGTCTTCCTTCAATAAAAAACTTTCTGAGATTTGCCTTGCACGGGGTTTGCCCCAAAAGAATCGCCCGATTCTCAGAGGGAGGATTGCTTGACCCAGCCAATCAAAACGGCCTGAGGGGTCGCGCTAGGTGTATCTTAAGCTGCCCCAACCGATTCTTGAGGCGGGACCGTTTGTCATATGCCATGGGAAGCTTCGCTCGGAAGGGAAGCAGCCAAAGAGTGGGGTGATAGGGTCGCTGGATTGCTCGACTCGCTCCAGGTGCCGCACGCCCCAGCCAGACCAGTCACCCCACCTGAGTTCAATGCTGAGTAATGTTGACCCAGATGAATAAACCGAATAAACCCCTAGCAGTGTCCCCTTTTAGTGTGAATCCTTCACTTTTGTTGGTGACACCCCAACAAAAGCAAAAAAAAAGGACTAAAGGCCAACCCAAACAGCAGCTGAAAGGCGGTCCAGAGCGGGGTTGGTACCAACCCAGAGACAAGCTGACCATTTCGGTGGGTTCCCCTCCCAATGGACTCCTCAAGTGCAAACCCTTCTCACTAGGGTTGCTGACCATCCAGCAAACTCCCAAACCACCTGAGACTTCTGAGTCATAGTCAAAGCCTGGTACTAAAATGGTCTAGACACCATATAAAGAAGCAAAAAGGCGGATATCCTTACCTGCTTCTGGTTGGGACTATCCCTTACTTCATCCGCCCTTTATGTGCCCGGGTTTTGATTGTGGCACATCTGGATGCGTCTTTTCTTGAGGGTACCTTCCTACTTGCTCTTTCCTCCCTTTGATTTTTTGTTTTTGGGGGGGGAGGGCGCAAGGGGGGCTAAAGGAAAACCAAAAGGAAAAGACTCCGAGTCCATTTTGGGGCTCCAAAGCCGCCAAAGTGGACGGGCCACTGAGCCACCCATCAGCCCCCGGCTTGCCGTCCACGCACACGTGCTGGCTGCAGGGCCTCAAAGGCCGCGAACGCTTTACCCGTCTTGCGACCGGCGCGAGAGGTGTCATTCTAAGGGTGTCTGGAGGTTCTCTAGAAAGAAGGAAGCCTGGAAATGGGGGAGGTACCTCCCCAGAATAGGGAATGAGAAATGGAATGACCCCCAGAAACGCCATCCCTTGTGCCTGCAAGGGAATTCAAAGTTCATTCTCACAATTCCCACCTGAGCACCAGCAAGCCGTTGAATGGGGTCGAACAATGAACCCTGGCAAATGGACTCCAACAAATGTCCCTTGTTCCGAGAAATCGGATGCCAAAAACGCATCCGGGCTGTCCTCACATCCCCTGCTAAAGGTGAATAACTTTTAGTGGATTAAATACGGAAACCCAAGCACTAAACAAACTAAAAACAACTGAAAACCTCAGGAAGGGGACGATTTGCTGGGAACCGTGCAGACCTGTTCCCCTCAAAATTTATCTCAGCCCAGAACTGCGTGTTGCAAGGCTTCACCTGCGCAGAGGGCAGCCTCAGCCAGCTGGAGCGCGCAACATGTGCGGAAAGAACTAGATTAGATTGGTGTTTGTTTGTTTGCTTGCTTGCTTGCCTGCTTGCTTGCTTGTCCAATTGATTGTTTGTTTGTGTTTCTGTGTATATGTTTGTGTTCTGTTTATTTGTTGCTTGCTTTGTCTTGGCTTTTTCTTTGATTGCTTGTTTGTTGTGGTTTTTTTTTGGGGGGGGGACCTTTTGGTTCTCGTTGTTGAGCCCAAAATTGGTATAGGTTAAGCAACTTGTTTCGGCAACCAGATCCTTGAGAGGGAGGAAGGTCCCTAAAAACGGCCGGCCCCAAATGGACCGAATGGTCTCGTGGGGCTCCCATTTCAGGCGCGTCCCTCACGTGAAAACCAACAACTCCCTTCCGGTGTTGGATTGGCCCAAGGCCACCAAAATGGTGGCCAATCTCCACGGGGGGGCAAAACCGGGCACACTTGCTCGTGGGTTTCAAAGGGAACAGAAGACCCTCCAAAATAAAAGGCTCCAACAAAAAAGACACCAACCCACTTGTCTGCAAAAATAAATATATAATATAACTCAAGGAGTGAGACAAACGAAATGAGGAGCTCGTTCCGAATCGGTGGAATCACTCAAACCCTAGGTTGGATCAAACAAATCAAAACCAACCCACACTTTCGACTCACTGAATGAGTGGATGGGCCAGAACAACATACCGTCGTGCTGCTTTTGTTTGCTTCCCACGAAAACAAACCAAAAGGAAAGTAACTCAAGTCACGGAACCTCGGGAGTGAGACTTGGCTTCAGTGGTTCTAGACCCCCTCCCCGGGCTTGTGGCGCCTCTTTTGTGGAATCCCTACGTGGCTAGTCGCGAGCTTCAGGGCTGCTTAGGGTTCCTTAGGCCCCCCCCCGGACCGCACCACCCAAATGGGACTCCACACTGTGGATGGACAACATCCATTTCGCACCACCTTAGAAACCCTGGAATGATGTTTCCCCTGGAAATACCAACAAACAACGGCTTCAACCATGGCTTCAAAGTGATGCAGGATTTCATCCACCCACAGTAGCTCTTGGCATCCCCGGCGCGTCGCAAGGTTTGCAGCCGGCCACGGGCTGCTGAAGGATCTTCCGTGCGCGCACCCTGAGAGAGAATTTCGGCCCAGCGGGTCGGGGGACGCCGTCATTCTTCGTTGAATTTTGGGTTGGTTTTACCCTCCAACGACTAACATGGAAGCGCACAGACCCCTGCAGGAAGACGACTTTCCTCTTAGAAAGGGGGGGTTGTGCACCTTCATGTTAGTTGGTGGGAGGGGAACCAGAAACCAAAAGGGGAAGCCACCAATTTTTGTGGGCTCTCCCAAAAGAAGCACACACACAGTTGACCGGGTGTCTTTTGTGGGAAACAACAGGAACTCGCTTGTGAACAGAGAGGCCAAGGCAATATAGAGCAGAACCCCCTTTTTGGCTGGAACCTGTGTAAGAAAAAACAGATGGAAACCACCACCTTGATGAAGTTCGCTACTTGTTTTCTCTTTTCCTGAATTTTGACAGCCCAAATGGCAGTCAACTCACATTGGTTCTCTGTTAAACGTTGCGCAGCCGACTGCTCGAGCCGCCAGGCGCTCGCATTCCTGAGCGGCCTAGCGGTGCTTCCGGCCTAGCGGTGCTTCCACTCAGGACTGCGCTTCGCAACGAAGGCCTCGAAGCCTTCCTTGCGGTCCTCCAAGCCCCAGGTGGCGTGGAAGAGGTGCCGCTCGAATCTCAGGCCTTCGGCCAGGCTCATCTCCTGCGACGCGTTCACGCACTCCTTGGCCAGCTGCCTTGATTGCACGACGCAAGTGAGAATCACTTCAGTGGCTTCAGTGGAAACCCCAACTTTGATTTCAACCAAAAAGTTGTTCGGTCCATTACCCAATCGCAGTCCAGCTGCGCCACCGGCGTGGAGAAGCCCGCGATCTTCTCGGCCACCGCGACGGCCGCGTCCAGCTCCGTGCCAACGGGCACCACCCGCGAGACCAGGCCCGCCTTCTCGGCCTCCTCCGCAGAGAGCATCTCACCTCACCGGTTTTCGGAGTTCGGCCCAGCTGGATCGCCAGTTGCTCTTGTTTTTCCATCCACTTTACCCAGCAACAGTGACTCAAAAAAGCAGCAACTTGGCTATCTAGGTATATCTTATTGTTTGCTTCACCTTGAGTCACTGGTAAAATGGTAAACTGTCTCCAAAATCTGCCCACCTGTGAGCACCAGCTCCATGGCCTTCGACTTGCCAATGGCGCGGATGAGGCGCTGCGTGCCCCCTACGCCTGGGATGGTCCCCAGCTTGATCTCCGGCTGCCCAAACTTGGCCGCCTGCGAGGCGATGATGATGTCGCAGGACATGGCCAACTCGCAGCCGCCTCCAAGCGCGAAGCCGCCCACCGCTGCCACGATGGGCTTGCGGATGCTGGACACCGCCGACCAGTGCGCCAACATGTTGTCATGTCGAACGTCACTGTAGCTGCTTCTGGAGTTCATCTCCTTGATGTCCGCTCCAGCTGCGAAGGCCTTGCCGGTGCCTGTAACCACTGCCGCCTTGAGAGCGGCATCAGCATCCACCTGCTGCAGCTTCTCTGCCAAGGCACGCATGAGGCTGTCAGAAAGTGCATTCAGGGCCTTGGGCCTGTTCAGCGTCAGCACCGCGATGCCACTGGAGCGGCGGTCGACCAGGACCAGCTCCTCAGAAGAGGAGAAGGCGCGGCGCGCCCCATTCCAACAGGCGCGAATAGGCCGTAGCCGCGCAAGTCCCAGCATGGCCGGCACAGGCTGCCTCAATCTCAGAGTCCAGCCAGCAGTCTCTAAATCTCTAAGCTAAGCCAAAATGGTTCACCACTGTGAGATGTTTGGGAGGCGACGAGTACCCTTCTCACTTTGGCTCAAATATGCTCCTAAATTCACCGTATTTACTCCCAAACCCATCGGAAACATGATGTCTGCTTCAAAGGCAGCACAAAGCGGCACAAAGGGTTGAACAAGGCCCCTCGCCCCAGTTGTTTGGCTTCGGTACCAACTTCTTGCGAGTTGCCGGAGGAAAGAGCTAGCATCCAAAAGCAACGCTCGGGATGAGTATGGAAACTGTATGCTGGCACCGGCATCCAAGAGCGGCTTGTTGCTGCCTTTGCACATTCTTAAGTCCTTCCCAAGTTTGCTGATATAACTTCGACAGGCGATCGGCCACACCACCAAAATCAAGGGTCTCGCTTTCGCTTGTGTGGATCTCGTTTCGAAACAAACAGAGCACAGCTCCGCGCTCCGTCACCTGGCACTCCATAGATCTGAGCCGCCGCACGTCTGACCCCCGTCACAGGACTTGTCGCACTGGCTCCATTCGTTCCTCGCGGCCCGCGCCCCGCGCCGGCCACACTCACACTTCAGAGGGTGGCAATGTGGGCCCGGGGGCTTTGGGGTTTACTGAGAGTCCGGGCGAAAGATGCGCCTTGCGGCATATCTTTTTGGGCTATTCGGTCATCTCTACCAAGGGAAGTCTGTCAGATTCCCTGGAATTCAGGATCCTGGGTCAAAGGCCAGGATCTCCCCAGGGGCCAGCAGATTCTAGGGGAAGATTCCTGAACCCAGGCATCCAAATCTTTTCATTTGAAACCCCGGAAAGGGAACAGCTGGTGTTGGAGAATACACAGGAGAGAGATACTTGAACAGAACACTTGGGTTTTCAAGAAACGAACGAAGCTCCAACAGAAACGGAAAATCAAACTCAGGATTGTCAGGCCATTTTCAGGCCGTCCCATCCTTACCCCAACCCAGGCCGCGCGGCTCGGATCGGCTCGGATGGGATGGATCTCTCACGCCGGGCGCCGCGCCAAGCGTCCCAGATGCAGTCTTGGCAGTCGCAGGCCGGGGCAAAGCAGGGCTCCACCTGGATCGCTCCAACCGCACGTTTTGAGATTCACCAACCCAACTATGGTGCTGCGGTCAGGTCGTATACTCTCCCAGTAACAAACCATTACTCCATACCATTGCCTCCCACCTGGCGATCCAAAATCGGGCTGTGACATGCGAGTCCTCAAAATCGAAGCGTTTCCCCTTGGCTATCCCAAAAAAAACCTTGGACACCTGCTTGAAATGGGTAGCTTCCTCTTGCTTCAAAATCCAAAAATCCAACCCCCGAAAGGGCAAATGTGGAACCGGCGATGGACCTCCGGCATGGGCAATTTGGTTTCTGCACTGCGCATGGATCCGCGAAGTCCAGGCAGCTGGGAGTGGTGGTGAACCAGGGTGTCTCTCTGGAAGAAAGGATTCCCCACTACAATGAGACGCCCCTTAGTAATAACTGGAAGGGGGTTAAAATCAGGGGTCAGCATTAATTCAAATCGGATGTCATCCACCTGGTGCGAAGTGGATTGACAAATCCACAGAAGGCCCGAAAATTGGATGGTCGAACCGCATGTCCAGATCGAACTCCGCTCTGTTTGCTTCGGACCAATCAGTTGACAAAGATACCCCCAAGTGGCTGTGGGTCAAAACCAATGGTACCATTTGTTATTTTGGGATAGGTGCACCACCCAGTTTAGTCTATTTTAGTGGGGATTGAGATGTTCACTGGGGGTACAGGCTTTTGAAGCCCCCAGGCTGATGTTTTCAGTGGGCAAGCGTGACCCTCAAATTCAAAACTGATCGGAGAATAGATAAGAAGCTGGGCCTAGTTTTTTTTAGTCCGACTCCCAAACTGTTTATTGGACCCCCAGTGTCAAAAAAACACACACACACACACACTCGAATTGACCACCACTAGTCTCGTCAATGCGCAACACCAACTAAAAATGGTTGGTAGACATCGTGGCAGAGCCGAACACCAACACCAAGATGGTTGGTCTCTGCCAAGGACCTTTGATCAACCACATTTAAGTTTCCGCCAATTGTATTGTCTGTCCAAGGTGCAATGGTTGGAACATGGAGCTAGTGCCAAACAACCAAGAAAGCACTTGCTGTGAATCAAAAGAAACACGACATGAGATTTGGACTCCCCAAACTAATGGCTGTCCTGTTGAGTTCCCTTCGTTTCCAAAGAAAAAAACACACCCACATGCCAAGAGGGAACAAAAACACTTATGTGGCAGGGGCCAACATGTGTGTGGTCCTTTTAAGGTGTCCGTTTAAACCAAAGCAAAATATCGTCAACAAGCGCAAACCCGTATAGGCATGAATTTCAATTGGGACCCTCCGGTAAACATCATCTGGGGATGTATGTCCACCAACCATTGAGGAGGGTTCCCCAATTGAATTTCGTAGCCACCTTTTGGCCCATTTGGAGGGTGGAGGTAGGTACATATGCCCACAGTACTTCTTCCAACAACCTCCATGGCGCTTCCGATCGAGCGGCTTGGCCGAACAAAATGCTCCAAACTGTTTGCTTCGTGTATGGGCCATGGTCATGGCCTTCTTAGAAGGAACCCTACATTGGTTGTCTACGTCTCCCAAAAGCATTCCATTACCATCCCTACCAACCCCAAGTATGGGGTCTTTTGACCATGAC